TTTTTGGAGAGAGGTTTTTGCTATAGGGTGCATGCACTCGCCAGACAGACAGACAGAAAGCGAGAAATCACCCTCCAGGGGGGATGGCCACGCCGCAGTTCCTTCTCCGTTCTCTTCTCGGGATCTTGGGTCCAGGACGTGAACCGTGGTCGACTACGTGGGAGTCCAGCGACATAACCATTACGCTAACTGCTGGTCCCTCCTCTTTGGATCTTGAGCACGCACGCACACGCACCCGGCGTCAGTTTAAGCCACCGGGTCCAAGACTTGAACCGCAGTTGACTACATGGGAGTCAACGATATAGCCATTATGCCAACTGCTGGTCCCAAGGTTTTAAATAATGAACTATAAAGAAGGCTCAGGGAGAACTAGGTGGCTGCTCATAGACTTTCTGCGAGTCTATTCTTTTTCTTTTTCTTTTTTTTTTGGAGAGGTTTTTGCTGTAGGGCGTGTGTGCTCGCCATACAGAGAGATAGAAAGCGAGAAATCACCCCCCAGGGGGAATGGCCACGCCACAATCCCTTCTCCATTCTCCTCTTGGGATCTTGGGCACCCAGGAACACACGCCTGGCCTGAGTTAAGTCAACAGGTCCAGGACTCGAACCGCAGTCGACTACCTGGGAGTTCAGTGACATAGCCATTACGCTAACTGCTGGTCCCTGTGAGTCTATTCTTAAACTGGACTTCTATCCTTTTATATCAGTTTTACCTCTTTAATTTAGATGTATAGCATTACTTATTAAATTGATTGTCACAAATAATTTGACTTCGATTATTTTTATGTAATTCATTTAAATTATAGACCTTAACACCTTACTTTTGATCTTTGACAGTAGGCCAGGAGGTACTGCATAGCTTAACAATTTTGAGACTGGCTACTTTGCATGTAATTCTGCCAACCATTTCCTTGCGTTGGGTTAATTCAGGTTCTGCTTAATGGTTGGTTTAGCAGATCAGAAAACTGACTAGTTTCTCTATAGAAAATGGAAATTTTTTACCTAAATTATTAGATTATTTGAAACTTGTAAGAGTACCCTTTTTAAAATTTTCTTTGTGAATTTTTATTAAAACATAACACATTAGGATTATAGCCATTTGTAAAAAGTTTTTAGACAGGCATTAAGCAAAGACTTGAACCAACTATAGTTAAAGATTTGACAAGAGTTTACAACTGAAAAAAATTTTTGGCTATATTTGCAACAGGCTAATTTAACATAACCTATAATATGACTGATAATATCATATATATTTTTGGAAATTTTCTTCTATTTTGGCACACAGTACATGTATAAATACACACATAAAAGCATAGACATGTAACATGTCGATATACATAATTTAAATATAATGTAAAGAAAATTAGAATTTTTCAACTTGACAATTTTTTAAATCACTTAACGTTAAAATAAGTCTGATTGCTTTTAACATCTCTCGTTTGGATCTTTTAGGGTCCCTCTGTAAATATCTGAAAGTTATTTTAAGATCAAAATAATTTAGAATTGGATTTTGGAGAAACTTTGTTAAATATAGCAAAAAGCTTCAATGTTTGACTTAACTGTCAGGAGAAAATGAAAGTTAAGTGTTTTGTAAGCACCTAGGGATGAGAACAAGGGCTAACTCGGTGTCTGGCACCAGAGCTAAAAGCATACATAGCAGACTACCGCATCTAGATATGACTGCCAGAGGTGACAGTGAGACAGCCCAAGGGCCAGCATGCCGGTCACACAGAGAATCCCCTTTAGGGGATTTAG